TTTTTTTTTTTTTTGTAAAATACGGTTCTAAATAGTGACTGAAAAGTCAAATTTATTTTTTTTTCTTCTGCCTAAAAACATATAAGTAAAAGCCATGCCAAATGAGCTCAAAATATGCAGGAAATAGTGTTAAATGTCACCAACTCACTAAATAAAGGAAGTCTCAATTAAAAACTCTTTTTAACAGTTCAATTCAGTCTAACATAATGGTTCACAAGTTTCTGTCAAGGAGAAAATCCTTATCTCTTTAGTAATGTTGAAGAAACTTCACCATCATCACCTAGTGTCCACAAATGCACATATCAGAAGTAGAACAATTTTAACTTAATGCTGGAGTACCAATGCAGACATTCCTTCATTTCAGACTGAAGCCGCGCGGGGAAGAAGAGAAGAGTGGAGCTCATCCGAGCTTTTCGAATGTCGTGCTGACAAAGACGGATGTCTATACGCAGTTGCCAGTTTACCGTGAAATTCATCCATGTCAAGATCATTCTGTTCCTCTTTATCTTTCTTCATCAAACACTGCTGCATCAGGCACAAAATTCATTACCTTGTGGAGCATATAAACTTATTGGCAAGAGGATTCCTTAACAAGGGAATAAAAACTTTAGCAAAATAAAATGGGAATTACTAGAATGAGTGTTTCCATGTTTGGTATGGAAACAGCAAACATTCTGTTACAAAAGAAAAAGTGTAAAAGGGTACAAAAAGAAAAAAAAAGCGAGAATTGCGAAGAATTTCTATGGATTCGCAAACAGACCTCAAGAGGAGGATTATCGAACATTGACAGGAATCTTTTTCGGCAGAACTCGTTGAAAAGAAGTGTTAGAATTGGAAGAGGAATGGTCAAAGTTGCAGCCAAGCGAACCTTTTTAAGCCCAAACACACCGATTGCGATAATATGCATAAGTACCAGAGAAAAAACGGTTGAGTAGTGCACAGTTGGCCAAAACCTTCCAACACTTTCATACTTGTTAATGTACACGTTCAATATCTGCCAAGAAGAAAAAAGTTTCAAAAATCATCAGAACAATAATACTCTAACAAGTTTAGTTGAAACAAGGGATTATGAAATGTTGGCCGATACTTCAGGGAAATTAATGATCCTAAAGAAAGCCTTTTGAACTGATTCAGATCGAGTTCTTATCGTCCCAACCAAAGATAATTCACAGAAACTAGCTAACACAATCTTTGCTCATGGAAAAACTTCTCCCTTTTTTTCTTTTCGGGAGAGCTCGAGGAACCCCAAATTTACTTTTTGGAGGGATTAGAGAAGGGAATCTATACCAAACACAGTACCAGAAAAGCCATTCCCTTCCTAATTTCTTTCTTTGTTACCAAACACTATTAGTTTATCAATCTAGCCCAAAAGCTTAAATTATTAGGAGATAGCCCAACAATAGCTTTAGTACTTTAACACTCCTCATGTGTGGGCTGAACAATAAACAATCATGTGAGCAAAATATATTAAAAACCCAATATGTGATGACAATTTAAAGAGAATAAATGAGTGTAATTACAGGGGGTTTAAACTCGGGACCTCCTGCTCTGATACTGAGTTAATTTACCAATCCATCCCAAAAGCTTAAACTATTAAGAGGTGGGTCAACAATAGTTTTAATACTTTAACAAACATGTCCCAAATGATGTGTGTAAATTAGAAAGATACTAAAGAAAGAAGCATTTGACTAACCTGGTTCCGAAAGATGATATATCCCAAACAATAGTAAATCAACAAAAATGGCAGAATTAATGGAGCTAGGAAAAAGTAGGTGACACCGAGGAGTCCGAAGAAGAGAATGATGGGAATTTCGCTATGATAAGGGATATATGGAACCTCAACTTCATCACTAGATTCTCCTGCAAACAGTCTTCGTATACAATTGTAAAGCAGGGGTCTCAATCGAACAAGTTCTGATGATAGACTGGACCATCCCGAAGTCAGAACATATGAAATGAAAAATGTCGCCTGCACCCAAGAAACTTAAATTAACAACTTCTATAATCAAATGCAATGCTGTCTGTTTATCTGTATTATGTTTCCTCTAGGTACTAAGAGCAAAGGAAACCTGTATAAATTCCTGCCTACATTTGAGTATACGGAAGTAACGTGGTATACAAGTCAAACTGCTTAAAATTTAAAGTGTCCTTGCAAACTGGATTTAACCTTGATACTATGAAAAACTAATATTTAATTAGCATAAGCAAACCAAAAATAACCACCGAGAGCTTGGCGGGATGGTAAGTCCACCTGTCCCCCCATGCAGAACTCATGGTTTTGGGTTGGGACCGCCAAGGTGGTCGGGATATATAGGCAATCCACTACGAGAGGGATCCATTATGCCACGTGAGGATGCCAAGCCTTCTCGGGGTTATCTGGTATACCACCTTCTACCCCTATAACTCTTTTAACATTACCAAAAAAAGTAATAATGATAAAGATATCCAAACAAAGAATGGAGTTACATTCTCACCTGTGCAGGGACAGCTTTAGCAAGTACTCGCGGAATTTTTTTGGGCTCAAGAAGGGTGTTCACCTGATCAAGAGCTGATCCTGATAGTACATTTGCAAAGAAAAGGTTCCATATAGTAAACCACAGTACTTTGTTACAGGCCTTTAGTTCGGTCTGACTAAGCGAGATGTAACCTTCGATGGAGGAAAACACCATCATGATGGGTGGCACTAGAGACTGGAAAAAGTAAAGAATAAGACTTGGAAGATACCCTATTATGACTTCACCGATAATTTTTCTGCAACTCAAGAAATTACACAGTTTAGTATTATCTCTTGCTAATTGAAATGGGTTGCCAATAAAATCAAAATACATTATCACATAAAATAGGCCAGTAATTGTGCACCTACATTATGTCTACCATCTAGCTTTTAAATCTTGAAACGTTCCCTCGCATAAAATTACTACATTGAGTTTTACATCCTTCCTTTTTCAGTTAGAGAACACTGTCAACTATCAATGATCAGAAATTTATTCGCAAAAGTCGGTAGCTAAAGTGTAAAGATATCATTCCCCGCAGAGACATCGATTTCTTTTAAACATAGGCGGTGTTGGCCAGGATTCTTTAAAAGAGATTTTGTTGATGATCTCTTTGCATCCTTGTGTAGAGTAAAGGAAAGAGAAAATAAGAAAGAAAAAAAATGAATTTGGTTGCATCGTCCGTCCAACCGATCGGAGTAAATTGCTCTTAAGCACAGTGAGTGCTGCGAGTTGGGAGCGCCACCTTCTTCCTCTATAACCCTTTTATACTTCATGAAAAAAGAGGGAAAAAATAATCAAATAAAGTAAAATGTTCGACTTACACTGAAAGTACGTCTTTTAGAAAAGGGAACCAATTCTCTAACTGGTCAAGATGAGAAAGGCCTTGCACTAGAACTACTGGGATGAGGAATAGAATTATAAGAGCGGCAGAAGCAACAACCACAACTATTTGGCATATCCATCTCTTTATGACTGAGCTAGAAAAGAAATCCCAGTGAATATCCCGGGGCTCAGGAGCTCTCTCAGTGACCCACTCTGTAGGATTGATGCCTTGTTGGATGTGCAAAGCTACCGCAGCACCAAGCCGCGTCTTGAACGAAACAAAGGCGGCCTTTGCTTCCTGTCGAATTTAACATTGTAAAGGAATGCTATTTATGTCATTATTAAAAAGATAACACTAGTTTATTTATGCTAGCAATTTTAAATTTATCATTTTTGCCATTAATATTCTCATCCCGTTCATTTCACCGATTCGAGTTTAGAATTCAAGTTTTATTACAGTAAAAAACTCTCATGAACAGTCATGTCTAATTTTTTTACTACAGTAAAAAATTCTCATATAAAATTACATCTCAATTCAAATTAAAAACTCGAATCAGCGAACTAAACGAGCCCTCTAATAAACTATGTTTCATATTCTACCAGAATATTTTCTTCTGGCAACATTTTTTTCGTACCAGAATACATTTCATATTCTGCTAGTGTATCTTTTAATAATGACAAAAATAATAGGATAATGAAAAATAATGATTATTCTTATAACTTTCTCTTTTATTATTATTATTATTATTTTCCTAAAATCAATAACCATCAGACATAATCAATCAATCTACAAATAGTAAGTAGTGCAAAAGGACAACAAAAGGGGGTCATTTTTATATCTTTCTTATATACATCAAAATGTAGTTTAAAGAAATATATATAGCGGAATTTGAGAGTAATCTCACCGTTCCTATCAATGAAGACTTCTCCTTTGTCAGATTATCCTCCAATTCTTCCAATTTCTTTTCATATTGATCTAAAAGATCAACGTTGCGTCCAAACTTCCCCAAAAACCCATCACGGACGAACCTTTGCTCAGGAAGACTTTTGAATTTTAGATGGGCAATCTTGCTGTACATATTATTCGCATCACTCTACAGAGAAAAAGAAAAAAAAATATGGTTTTCAGAGATACAATTCACTTAAACAAACAAGTAAATGGATACAACTTATAACTTAAATTACTGTGCTTAAATCTAAGGTATAAAAATAACATTATGGAAAAAAAAAAAAATGGGGTAAAACTAAAGTATAAAAATAACATTATGGAAAAAAAAAAAAGAATAAATGAAGAAAAAGTGAAGCATCAAGGTGGAGGTACTAATTAATGGACATTGTGTAATGAACACAAATTTCGGAAGATTGATGGAAAGAGAGAACAATAGAATAGCATAAGCATCTAAGGCTCCGTTTGGTAGAAAGATGAGGAAGATGAACGATGGTGAGACTTCTAATAATCCTTTTATCTTGTTTGGTAGGAGAGAGCAAGAGTTGAAAGCATAAATGATAGCTATTTGTTTAATTACTATATTGTCTATTTTGCTATTTGTTAATAATTTCTTTTGAAGGGTAAAAAAGTTATTTTCTTTTAATTTTAGGTGGATTAATTGAATCTTTTCATCAATGCAAGGATCCAAAATAATGAGCCCGAAGAGAGAGTCTCTCCCTTAATATCTCCTCTCCCTCCTCTTCTCTTTCTAACCAAACAAAGGATTCACCCTCTTCCTCCACCCCTCTCCCTCCCTCCTATAACAATGATATGTGACACACTGATATCTAGTCCAAAATGGTCATTCGTATTGAGATCTTAACTTTTTGACATCAATTCATGCAGTAATGAGTTGTCATCTTTCTTTTTAATACGTGTGTCAGTTTTTTTTAATACTTATCAATAAAAAAAAATAACAACTCGCATTCCACATCTTTTAATTGAAGAAAAGTAAAAAATTCCTGGCTTCTATTATCTAATTTTGAATTATTTAAACATTGGTCTGCCCCTTAAAATAATTTCTGATATTGCCGGTGGCCAACTTCAATGATGTAGGGCCTTGAGCACTGGAGTCATATGTACACTAACTACGTAAGGCCCCGTTTGTTTCATATGATTAACCAAAATTCAAACCTTTTTATTAAAAAAAAAATTTTCTAACAAAAATTTTAAATTTGTATTCAAACTTTATGTTCAAGCCTATAAATCAAACGTGCTCATATATTCTATTATTTATCAGCAGATATCATAGAGTTTGCCGCAAGTTTATAGTATCAAACATGGATCTTTTGGGATTACTACATGAAACTCAAAATACCAGCAAAAATAGCTTAAAAGTAAGAAGTAAGCTAGTGAAGTTCACTTAACAATAGCTGATCAAATTCAAAGCAATTCTAAGCCACAGTAGCTCAAATTCAAAGCAATTGTCCCCTTCAGATAAATGCACAAAAGAGCCATCTCAAATGATGATATTGTTCGAATTTTGTGATGAAAGAACTCCCGGTTTATCAAGAATCTAGATATCCAAAAATTTCGAGGAAAAGACAAAAAGAAAGAGAAAACTCACTGGCAGCCCCCAGTACAATAGAGAGAGTTTTCCGAACAATACCATGATTCTCTATGATGGAAAACGGAGTGTCAAAACAAGATAGAAAGGTTAAGGTTATGATAATAAAAACGCAAAGTGCTTACTATGAGACCTTGAAGTTTGCCAGTTCGACGAACTACTTCGTGCGAAAGATATGTTAAAGGATGATTCTCCTTAAAAAATCTCCCAACTGTTTCACTGCAGCTGCTCTCAGGCGAGACAGGAATGCCTCTAACTAATCTTGAAAAAAGATCAGGCCTCGATTCTTTTCGACGAGATATAACGAGATTCCTGTGAAACACACACCCATCACAGCCAGTTTTCTGTTTTTTTGTTGTTGTATGAAAGCATGCAGAAACAGGATGTTACTTACAGTATAAAGAAAGTAGCAGACAACTCCAGTAAGTACATATACAGCAAGAAAGTGAACCCACAACCTTGTAAGGGGCCAAAAATAAAAAACCACAATCAGGGTTTGTCCAAGAAGAGATGTTTCCAATGGATTATAATATACGACTATATACTAGTATTAAAAAAAAAATGCTTGATGTTAGAAAGTGTATCCAGAGAACACTTGTTTTCTGTTTTTCTCTCACATAAAATCTGAATTTCAAAAGTCATAATCAAAATCACTTATTTGAACCCTGATTTGAACCCATAGACCAAACGAGCCCTAAACATATGAAGTTCATTTTCTACAAAGGATGCAATTGAAAATTACAACGAAAACTAATTTCAGAAAAATTAGGTTTAAGCTTTATAACTGATTCCATAATTGAAAATTACAACAAAGATACAAAATTTCAGCAAAATGAATATTTCTAAATTTCACTAAATCTTTTGAGACATTTTCCTGAAAATCAACATTAACACCAGCAGACTCAATAAACAAGTTGAAACATAATCCGAAGCTTCCAAGTAAAATTAAGGAATAAATAAGAAAACTTTTATTTTAAATTTCAACAGTTTTGTATCTTAATTCTTACAAAAGAAATTATTTATGTAAAAGAGATTCACCATTTCGACCCATTATTGACATTTGAAATACAGAAGGACTCTAACGCCTTGTTTGGCAAGTCAGAAAAGTCATTGTTAAGCTGGTTTCCCAGATAATTAATCGGCAGAAGAATGAAGACCCCAATAAATCCAGCAACACTGAACACTTTCAAGCTGCACCAAAAAAAAAAGAAAGGAAAATTAAAGAAAAAAAAAAACAAAAACACTGAGGACTTAACATCACAAATTCCTCACTGAATTCAAATGAAATTTAATAGAAAAAATCACGAGTCCTGCTTTTGTTCAATTATAAATTAAAATAATCACGTTAATAGAGATTTATAGCATCATTCAAGTAAATACTGAATAATAACTTAATCTTAATCTTATAAGACTAATTATTAAACAAAATGCCAAGTGTTAATTGACTTGATGTTATGAAACCACAACAAAATAATAAGATTTTGTTTAGACAAATCCTTTTCATCAACGCTATGCTAACTACTCTCATATAAACTGAAAGATTGCATTTCATGAAAACATTTTGTAACTCTTTCTAAGAATAATTCTAGAGACACCAACGCTAACTCTAACTTTTTATCAAATTCCTAGCTGTCAATTTTTTTTACTGATCATTAAAAACAAAAAAGAACCTGAAGACAAAAATGCGCATAAAGACCATAGCGTCGAAGCCCACGGTGGACAGGAGGTCTCCGTCGGAAGGCATCCATGCCGTTCTGACCCAGCCAGCGGTTGGCACGAGCCTTTCGAGGATGTATTGGCGGCGTTGGCGGTTGCTCCGGTGGCGAAACTCTCCTTGAGCGAGCAGTCGCGGAGCGTAGACGGCGACATTGAAGGGCTGCTTCCTCAGGACGGAGTAGAGAGTGACATTGAGTAAGCAGATCCCGAGGTTGATTCCGACGCACGTCAACAGAGCCGATATGATCATCTCGTTACTACCCCAAGTAATCTTGCTCGGAGAAGCTGAGCAACGACGAAATGCCAAACACGGCTGTGAGAAAAAAAAAAAGAAAAAAAAGAAAAAAGTGGTTGAATTGATGATGGCTTTTGGTTTACGTAGTGGTCAAGGAACACACGTTGGAGAGTTTGGGACAATGACGACGGTGTCCCAGAGGACACAACCGTCAACGACGGTGGCTCCCGCCCTTTTTTTTTTCGGTCACATATAGGCCCCATTTTTTTTTTTTTTCGGATAGGGTCCCCAATGAACAGATTTTCGCACGCTCCTTGCATTTAGTAGCGTTAATGTTGTTGGGTTAATTATTTTCTTTTCATCACTTTCACGTTAGTGATATTTTTAACAAGTGATTATTGTAATTCTAACAGCAATACAACATTACTTGTCCCTTCAAAGAAGAAGAAGAAGAAGAAGAAGAAGAAGAAGAAGAAGAAGAAGAAGAAGAAGAAAAACAATGACTTGTGATAGCTAATATAAATGTCTAAATATATAATTTGGCGTGACCGTGCTTAAAAACGAAATCAATGCCTAGTATGTTTTTTTAGTGTTACTGGCACATAAATAATTAGGGTTAATTTCAATAATAACACTCATGAATAAATGATTATTAATTTTAGCATCACTTTTGTATACTTTCACAATTAGCATTGTTATGTCAGCAGTGTGAGATAAAATAACTTCTATGTCACTTAGGTCAAAATTATCATTTAAAAGTACCTTAAAGAAACTCTCAACTCTCTCCCGCTCATTCTCTCTCTACACCCCATTTTCAGCTCTCTCTCTCTCTCTCTCTTCCCTACGCCCTCATTCCCTCGTCGCTAATACTCCGGTTGTGCACAGATCGAGGTTGGTACACAATTTTTTTCATTTTTCTTTTATTTTTGTCTTTTTAAATTTATTTTTCGGGAGACTTAGTATATAGAACTTAAAAAAAATGATTGGGTTGAACTTAATGTGATAGGAATTGAAAATATCATTCGTCAATTTGAGATTTTAGATGGTTTATAACTGATATGTAAACTGATTGTAACGACCAACACGTCAAAGACATAGTTGACCTTGAGAGTCATAGTATTATGACTCATAGTGTTATATGTCCGGTCATAATACTATGACCAGTCAGTCATAACGGTATGAGTCATTGTCTATGAGTCAAATTATAACAATATGAGTCAAAATGTTCAGTCATAGTATTATGACTGTAAGGCAGTCATAGTGATATGACCGTCCGGTCATAATATTATGACTGAAATGACCCATAGTGTTATGACTGGCACACTATGACTGCCTTATGACCGGCCAATACACCGTGTTATGATTGACCATTTCTAATGCCTCGATGACGACTAGGAGTAATTACATGTTGATTAACAGTTATTGTTTTTGAAATTATTAGGAATGGCTGCTGGATTGAATGTCTTCATCAAGTACAATAGATATTGAGACTGTGCTTCGAGATACATCGGCTGTGAAATGAAGGGGATATTGGTCTCCACCAACACAACTTATATTGGTCTTATAGATTTGGTGAGAAATGTGCTTGGGATTCGGCCACAAGGAAAAAGTTTATCCTTAAGATATGTTGTTGAAGACGAAGCTCCTGTGAAGATATCGTCTGACTATGATGTCACATTCTATCAACGACATCTCTTCCTCCAAAACCTTTCTTTTCTTCTAAGATAACAAAAAATGGTAAAAAAAAACAATAAATACAAAAAAAAACAAGAAAAGCAAACAAAGTTGTTAACTAAAGTACTATGACTGACACACTAAGAGTCTGTCCATTGAGCGGTCATAGTACTATGACCGACGGTCATAATTCTATGACTGCCTATCATGCAGGCTCGCTCATAGTATTATGAATGATGGCCGCCCATAAAAAAAGTACTGTGACTGGCACACTAAGAGTCTGACAATTGTGCGGTCACATTACTATGACCTAGGGTCATAATGCTATGACCGCAAGGCAGTCGCACTATGAGCCTGACAATTGTGCGGTCACATTACTATGACCGAGGGTCATAATGCTATGACCGCAGGCTCATCAGTTAGACAATCGCACTATGCGCATGCCTGCCTAATGGGCGGTCATAGTAATTATGACCGTCGGTCATATTACTATGACCGTCAGTCATATTACTATGATCGTACGTTGTGCCTATCTTATGACCGGTCATAATAAAATTACCAAACGGTCATAATGATATGACCGACCATCAGGCAGAGTCACAGACCAAATAAGGAGCATAATGAGAATCCAATGACCCCGAAAAATTTTAAATAACTGACCATATATGCTTTTATCTCCTCCTCCAAAGCCTTTCTTTTCTTCTAAGATGACTGAAAATGTTAAAAGAAAAAAATAATAAATACGTAAGAAAAAAAACAAATAAACAAGAAAAGCCAACAAAGTTTTCACCTTTGTCTCGGAATCTGCCATTGACCTCGTCTGTTTCATGGCTTATTTCTCCGGCGAAGAGGGAGAGATTTCATCGGTTCGTTCTTCTCCGACGAAGAGGTTTAGGCGTTGATTTCTCCGGCGAAGGTTCGTCGGTTCT